AGAGCAATGCACGTGGTCATATGGGCGTTATGTGGATTTCATGGAAGATATGGTATACAGAACCACAAACCACGTTGCAATGCGATGAGACGGGTACATATATACGTGGATTGCGAGAGCCAGTTTGGAAACTCACACCTATGACCATCCTCCACTCCAGCGCTATGGAATCCATCAAACAGATGCTGAAACGTCTCGCAGACAGGACGAAAAAATGGAGAATTAGCTCACGACGGCTTGTACAAATCGTGAGTGGGAAAGCGCCACGTATGCGTTCTTGACGATTCATGCGCTGCGCTGCATTAGGTCAAGGGTGAGGCGGGCAAATCTGGCTCATCGGCGACGAGACCTCTGCCGCAGCTCCCGATCGAGGTGTGGGAGAACGTGATTGACCATCTGTGGGACAAACAGTGGACTTTGCTGGAGTGCCACCTCGTCTGCCGAGCATGGTACCCTCGCAGTCGCTTCCACTTGCACAGGAGTATCTGGTTCGTGAGTAGCAAGGGTGTGAAGGCATATGCGAAGGCGCTGAATCAGACGCCCGAGCTGTCAGAGCGGGTGCGCAATATGTTCATATTGGGCAATCTGTCAAGCCTGTCGACGGCGGCGATCCTGCTCGCTCGCAAGCTGCCCCGGCTGAAGACGCTCACAATCCAGGCCCGGTATTCAGAGTGGGAGCCGTGGACGATGCACAGCGACATTTTCCTGCTCCTCCCTGCCTTCTCGTCTGTCACTCGCCTCATTATCGGAAATATCACATTCCCGTCGATCACTGTTCTTGCGCACCTCGTCTGTGCACTGCCACGCCTCGTCAAGCTCAAATGCAGGTCTTATCGATTCACACATGACTGCTTCCATGGCGATATGTTGGGTCCATATCGCGATCGCGTCAACATCAGGGCCTTGTCACTCCACAAAAATTGTTTCTCAGGCCACCGCTCTGAGAAACTCTTCGACTTCCTTGCTCACCCTTGCATCTCGAGTCGCTTGCAGAGACTAATCATTGATGATTCAGGTGATCCGTGGTTTTCAGAACAGGACCAATGCAAATGCCAGCAACTATTGGAGGCTGCATCTGGCTCACTCTTGGAACTGAAATCGCTTCTCACATATCCAGGACAACAGATAGCAGAGTGGTCATTGGTGCCTGCTGCAGGTGTGCACTCCAAGTTTATGTAAGCATTCATGCTAATCAGATCTCTCCAGTTTCAGTGCCATCCTTCGTTAATAATACCTCAATGCGGAGACTACAGCTATCCCTTGTTCGTACTAATGGAGGCTTTGATCTCGACAGACTGTGTCAAGTCTTACTTTCAATCAACTCGGGCCAGCTGCGAGAGATCGTTGTAGTTCTCCTATATCACGCTCATTATGTCTGGAGCTTGAACTATCCTCGCACGCGATTGAAGACGAAGGTAAACGAACTCCCCTATATAAGCAACTGTGCTCGCTGCAGAGAGGTCGACAATCATCTTTCGTCCGCCTCATTCAAGACACTTAGCAAAGTAGAGTTTGCACATTCTTGCCCCCTTGATATGGTTATCGAGGAGCGGTGGAAGCAGAAAATTGAACCTTTATTCCCTCGACTAATAGAGCGAGGCATCCTACGGTGAGTATCTCCCATTTTTACGCCTAGACTCACACATTTATCTGCATCGCGATATTGGAATTGCAGCACCACAATGCCGAGATCTTGATATTTGATCATTGAAGCCGTTTCATCCGCAGTATATGCTTCCCGAGTTCGTGGCCTTGTCTCCACTCTGGCAACAATGAAGGGCACACTCAAATGGATCGCGAAGGCTTCTGCCCTCGTCTCTCTCCCTCTTCCACGTGCCCAAGGTGCTGCACGTTCTTGGCTATGCATCATCGCCTCTTGCACAATCCCCTACTCCATATCCATCGCGTGCGACTAAACAATATTTCCCGCATACTACCATCGCCATCTTGAAATTCAGACATCCCTCTTCTCCATCTCGTCTCCACCTTTTCCAAACCATCTGCGCCAGCGATCGCTCATCTCACGACCGCTACATCCCTCATTCACACGCTCTCAAGTACACGATGTCTACCGGAATCGACCCACAAGGTCACCAGCGGCTAGGCGGTACTGGGCAGAGTTCGTCAAGCGACATCTTTCTGGCTGTTTCGTCGTATTCACGGTAACGGTGGTGACATGGGGCTAATCCGAGGATGCGGGAGGACCTCCGAGTCGAAGATGACTCGGGATGACACAAAGAACTCACCAGAAGCATTTCCACCAAGAGACTCCTTGAGGCGAAGGGGGCTCAGATTCGATTTCACGCCGCGTACCGTGACACTCATACAGTCTAGGTGCCACATGCGATGAATCATGGCAACACGACAGCAATCAGACAGCGCAAGTCGAATTCAAACTGATAATTATCGCAATAAGTACCTTTCAGCGGCCGAACACGCAAATGAACCATCATGTCCTCCTTCCCTGCAACCCACAATTGCTCAATCACCCCCTCCTCCCCAGGCGACCTCGATTCTCATATCGTTTCCATCCCAACTCGATCGCGTGATTCCAGAACAACGCACCGCACGACTACCAGCGCCAGCCATCCCATCGGCACAGCACAAACAACGACGCACATTCGCTCACCTTGATCGTCGCGAGCACGAACCGGCGCCGATAACATACGTGCGGAATGTCCATATGTGTGAACGTCAATACATGCGAGTGGCCCTAGATCTCCGGCACGCGTAGCGGGTCTGCCCTCCCTGATCCAGCGCTCTGGCTGGATCCCCTCGCATCAAGGTCTTCGTAGCGCGCGGGATGGATGTCCACATGAAATGGACCGGGACGGTGACAATCTGGCCTGTGAAAATGGAGTCGATGTCGATGCATGGGCGTGGAACGCCGCTCGCACAGGAGATGGAGCAGAGTGACAGTGCATTCCGTGGCCTTTCGGGAACTGCATGAATTTGAGGGCGGAGTCGCACGAATGTAGGAAGCGGGACACGACGGCGGGCCACGGCGTGTTCAACGACCCCGGAGATGCAATCGCAGCATATACTGGATGACGGCATCGAGTACGCGTGCGTGCGCGAGCTGTTCGCGCGTGAATCGGTATTTCATCAAGGGAACGAACCGCTCATGTAGCCTGCGCTGGACGCCAAGCTGCTTGCAAACTGAATGAGCTCCATGAGCTATCTATGCGTATATTGCGGGTTTGACATCAGGACAGCGGGACGTTTGGACCGGAAATGTTCATGAGCGACTATACCTGATGGGATATTGCAAGTGTCGTGGATGGATCGGAGTGTTGTTCGCTTTCCGAATGTCATCACATACCCAGCGCGTTTTTCAAGACTTTATTTACTGATAGCACGAGGTTGTCATTGTTCCTCCACGGTTTGTATGTAGTACAGGAGACAGAAACGGACTTGCGAGGTTATAATCTCTTCAGACAGTCGCAGAGAGAGTTTATTGCGTGTTGATTTTATTACACACTATAGCCGGGCCCGTTGATCACCGTATGCATCAGCCCAAGCCAGAACACGCACGCACCAAATCAAAGATACTTTGATTCTCTATCACACCCTCGAGTAAATCCACTCTCCTCGAACTTTCCGATGACCCATTGGCGATATGCCCGGTCTTTTCAACCAGCATTTAATAAGCTAGACGAGCGCTGTATGGGTTCATTCACGAGGAGTGAGGAGGCGGTTCTATGATTTTCTTTCTTTACGTCGATATCGATATGAGTGCCCATGAACGAATCGGAGCACTGGGCGACGAAGAACACTCACTTTGCAGGGTGCCGTGGATGCCGTTGAGGTAGAGAGCACATGCATTGGCTGCTCCAATGTCGGGTCGCTGCTGGCGATCACGCTGCTCACCACTGGACGTCGAGCAGCTTTCCAAGCGAGTATCAACAGGACGTCTTCGTATTGATAGCGGACGTCCCTTGCTCGATCCGCTATCGAGAGGGGGTTTGCAGGAACTGCCGCAGAAGTGAACAGAGTAGAGATGAAGTCGCGAACCAGGAAGGCGGAGCACGTTCAGGAGGAGAGGTCAGACACAGAGTCACGAAAGAAAACGCGATAAGATTGCCCATGAAAACGATTAATGAGCAAGACATGTCAGCAGAAGCCCAGCATCAACATGTCCCAGCACGCACCGCGAGTATTTCCATCCTAGCATACCTCTTCCCATGAGAACGCTGTGCTGCTGCCCTTCCGTACTGCGACAGCCGGATTCCACAGGAACGCCTTCCGGCGGGATGCGCAAATATCTCAAATTTCAGCTCGCTTCTTCCCCTCCATTTGCGCGGCTCGGCAATCCCGGTCTCATGCATTACGAGTGCGGACAGGTGCATTTGTGCGGCTAGCACGGGAGCAGTCCAGCACTGCTCCGAGGGGATAATGGCGGCGACTGCGCATTGACGGTTTGCGTCGTCTCTGTGCTTGCAGTGCGCGATAATTGAGCGTCGTGAGGCACAGAGGAGAGGGCAGTTGAGCTAAAATTAATGCGAGCAGAGTGCTTTGTGAGGGTGCCGATGGCATCGGAAGACGAGACTTCGATCTCAGATCTCAGAGTTTACGGTTGATCGTGTTCACAAACAGTAAGCATTGTTTAGTCATAGAAATTAGGGAGAGGCTCGTCAAAACGCTGGAGACCGCCGCAGACATGGTGGAACGCTGTGAAATGATCACGCACAGGCCTTGGGCACGGGTTGACGTCGGTTGACGCCACCAAACTGATGCACCACGTTGTGCGCGCTATAATTGGCTGACTTTAACTCTCGAGCAGGCAGAGTTCTGACGGCATGACAAACCGTGTAACGTTAACATTCTTTGTTATTCTTGCTTTCAGATACCACACTCATCGTGGAGCTCCGGTTCAGGTGTAAGTACAGGATCCACATGCGGTTGTAATGCGAACGAACAGTCTATCCGTCAAAAACAAAAAGTATGTCCTTATTTTTCATCCATTTCATTCCGACTGTCGTCCGCTGATATTGTCTGTTAATTATCGACAGGTCGAAGAAATCATATTTTTGTTGAATATCACCGCCTGGATGGTAAGCATCGTGGACGGCGGCCATTCTCGCCTTCATAGGCCGCTTAGATCGCGGATGTCGCATGAAAGCGGTGTATCAGAGGCGCCATTGGTCACCGCAAAGAAAGAGCATGCAGGATAGGTGAGATCAAATACAGGATCCCGGAAATGAATGTCACGATACTGCCTCAAGGAATTCACCAACGAATGAAGCAGGTTGAAAGAAATCCACCATCGGTATGAGAAACTGCAGCAGGACAGCGTATCTTCTCGTGTGAATGCTGTAAGTGGTCAATCTCCATGTGACAGCCTGACACTATGGACATTTATGGGTGAGATGCACGAACACCTGCTCTTACAACGTACTTCTCCGCCCACTGCAACAGATCGAACAGTTCAGCCTAGGCACCACGCGCGTGGCTAGATATGTTTCTGCCGTCAGTGCGCTCACGGCCCAGTGCTGCTCCGCGGTGGCCATGGGGAATATGGCGGGAGGGACATCGATGGCGGCATCGATGGCGGCCTTGGACTCTGTGGCAGGGGGGTGTCGTCAAATGACCGCAGGCCGCTGCAAATGGACATCGTTGAGTGTGAGCTAAGCTTTCGAATGCACCAGATTACTTACGATGTGATGGGCTGCGCAGCTCTGATGGCGGCTCCTGTCGTCCTTGCTCACAGACGATGCGCTAAAATCCGCGCTCAAGACAGCCAGTGCGCCAGGTACGGAATGCACAATGCGTGCATAACGTGAGTGATCAAGCATGTTAGTCGCGCCATTTCTTCTCCATTGCAGGCGATTCGCAATCACCCGCCTCTCGTTGTCAGTTCAGCTTCGCTCCAATCGTTACTCTCACGATCTTCTTGTGCCAGAACGCAACACCGTGCACGCTGACGGTCACGACCTGCAGCACGAGCATGCAGCTCGAGGAACCGGCCGCTTTGTCGACTAACACTGCCTAGCGTGACGTTCGGCGGTGGAGATGGCTGTCCTTATCTGCGGACTCTCCTGGCGTCACGGATGTGGTATGAAAGCGGTGCGTCAGCGAGCATTTCTACTCAAACCTTATACCATGGCTATGGCCTTGACGGGGCCCAGTTCCTAGGCATTCGGGCGCCCGAAGGGCTATGCGCTTCCCGCCTGTGTCTTGCGGACCCGGGTGCATCCTTTCTGCGCCGCAGATTGTGGTGCTGCTCTACGGAATTGCATATAAGTAGGATAGCCACAGCGGCTAACACGGGCAGGCCACCTCATGACCGCACTCGTGTTGTCTGCGCCAGTGCAGCGATGTGGTCAATTTGATGAAACTCTACGGTATGTGTGGTCTGATATCATCAATCGAATACCATATCCTGATAAGAAGTGTACGTTATGAGGCGCGGCATCCTAGAGCTACTCTAGCCGTCCCCTTTGCCCTCTCTCGGTCCCGTGGCAGTAATCACAGCTGCGGTGTTCATTGAGGTGCAGTGCGTCTACGATGCTGTGCACGATAGAAGTTTTTCCGTTCTCAGAATCGTCGCGTAATCCGGAGCAGTGCAGCAATGTCCGCAGAATACGAAGTGACTTCTAGCCGGGTGCTGCATATGTGAGATTAGATGAGCTTCTATCCATCTGCAAGGTACGTAAAATCCTGAGTCTGTGCGATGTAATATGCATGAGCCGTAATGACGCACTCCAGGGTACACATGCTTTAAGACAATGAATTTTTCGCGCTATGCAAGCGAGCTACACTTTTTTGCGGTGCGCTAGACACGCATGCACCAATTTCAAGATAGTCTGATTTTGTACTATGGCTAGGCTAGCGCACGAGCCTAAATGATATGTAGTCGATTAGCTAACAGAAGCCAGACTTTTTTTCTATCACGCCTTTGACTATATGACTCGTTGGCGATATACCCGGACTTCTCACCCAACATTCGATGTCGTAGAGGAGCGATGAGAGCACCTTCACGAGGATTGAGGGCAGGTCCTAGGAGTTCCTTTTCTACGTTGATATCGGTCTGAGCGCCCGTCAACGCATCGACACGCTCGGGATGAATGAACGCTTACTCTGCAGGTGCCGAAGTGATGCAGGAAGCCTTCAATGCCCAGCGTGTCCAGTTTGCTCTTAGATCCAACATGAATAGACAGTATATGATGCGACGCGATCAAAAAGGTTCGCAGCCTTGAATGTCACGAAATACTGTTCATCCTACAGGACGAAAATTCGTAAAGACCATTGCAAGCATCCGAAAACGGTGAGCGCGTACATTACGTCTGCGACCATACACAGCAATGCGATAATGTCCTTCACCTTTCCGCTGGCACTGCCGACTTGCTCCATATTCCACACCCCCTGGGTCCGTTCGCGATGTGCTCGATATTCTCGTCGAGATTTCGACCAGCCGAAAGGGAGACGAGGCCGATTGAGGTACGACCACTCCGGTCCATATGAAACTGTGATGCAAATTGCCGTTTGTGAGGTGCTACAAGCAGTCGGCAACAGAGGAATACTTGCTGCGCACGGTGCCAAAATTGTATCACTCGATTGAGGAGCCTCGTGTCAAGCGCATGTGCCTCGCTGAGAATGCCGGATCTCACACAAGCAGCACATGGTGGATGTCTCCAGATGCGAACGACTCGATTAGATACGCTCACGCTCGGTGGTCATCTCGCGTGCGGAGTAACCGATAGCGAAACTGTCTACATGCTGAGCAAAAATAAACAGAGTCGAAGTCTTCGCATTGATAGCAGACGTACCATGCTCGATCTGCGATCGAGAAGTCTACCAGATTTTGGCAAGTAAGACGAACGTTGGAGTGCTTGCCATGAACGTGAACGGAGTAGAATGGGGGATCGTGAAGTGCAGCGTCATTAAGCGAAGGAAGAGCACGGTGAGGTGGGGTCGGATATAGAGTCGCGAAGGAGAACGCTGCGAGACGGCCCATGAAATCGCCTAGTGAACGAGACAAGTTAGTCAAAGCCCATCATCGACATGATCCAGCACGCACCACCATCCTGACTTAACCCTTGCTGCCCTTCCGTACTGCGACAGCCGGATACCACACGAACGCCCTTCAGCGGGGTGCACAAGCATCTCAAGCTCTGACGCGCTTCTCCTTCTCCGGCTGTGACGGCTCAGCGACCTCGGTTTTGCGGCTATGAGCGCAGATAGCCGCGTTTCTGCGGCCAGCATAAGAATAATACTGCTCCGCAGGCGGGAGTGATGGCCACGAACACATTGACGGCTTGAATCGTATTTGTGTCTGCAGTAGTCGGTATCTGTGCGCGAGGGTGGAGTTCTCCGTTCGGACGCGTGCAAAAAAGCAGCTGAGCTAGCGGTGCGAGCAGAGCACTTTCTGAGTGCCGATGACAGAGTTGGGCGAAGATGTCACGGTCCACCATGTTCATGACTGATCGAGTGTCCACAAACAGCAAGCTACGATCGTCGAGATGAGCAAGACAAAATGTAGGAAGGATGCCACGTCAAAAGGCTGGAGGCGTCGCAGACATCGTTGGACACGAATACTAGCGCTTAGCGCTTAGCGCGGGTTGATGCTATCATTGATGCCGATCGTGTAACTTGTGTATAACGCGCGTCTGGTCAACATCTCCGTCGACCTCGCTTTTGGACACCATGTGCGTAGTGGAGCTCCGCTTCAGGCAATTATACTAGGTACGCGATCCACGCCCGCTTGTAATATGCCAAATCAATGGCTGACCCGTCCAAAACTTTACAACCTTGTTTTTCATTTAGTTCCACCGTGACTCCGACCGTCGTCCACTAGGATTTGCTATTGTCAGGACACAATACCGAGTGTCCCGCCTCTTCGACGTGCAGCACAACCATCCGAGTCGGGGAGCTTTCGTCCGCCTGACAGCTCGAGGGAAGAATCGCTTCGTCCACTATTACCGCCTAAACGGCGAGCACTGCAAGTGATGTTCCTATTCCTCGCCTTCGCAGGCCACTTGAATCGCAAATCGGCATGAAAGCTGTGCGTCAGCAGTCACTCTTATCAAACTTAGCCCGGGCCGTATATGGACTGACGAGTTAGTGCAGATGCTATGCGGACATCCTGACAGCTCTGTGTCGCCCACTTGCAGCCTGGCGTCCATCCATTCAACGAAGCTGCAGTGCCGTTATCGCCATCGATCTGGTATAGTCTCAAGCTTCGCTATTAATACCGATAAGACCTGATTCTCACTTGCAGGCACTGCACTTGTAGGCAGGTGAAGGCGCGATGTACAGTATCCCCGAGTGCACGCGTTATGTGAGCGATCATGAACGTTCAGCACCTGAAATGGTCATCTTTTTCCAGTAGACACTTCTAGCGTCACGGATATGGCACGAATGCGGTACATCAGCCAACGCTTCCATTCCAACCCTGGGCTGTGACTATGGGAATGACAGGGCGCAGCTCCTAGGTGTTCGAGGACCAGGACGTCCTTGCGTTTTCCGTCTACATCTTTCAACCCTGTGTACGTGCGTCCTACGCATACTGGGGTACTGCTAGAGAGCTTCATTCTGTGGCATAGCCTCAGCGGCAAGGACGGGCAGGCAACGTCATGGCCGCACTCGTGGTGTCTGCGCCAGTGCAGCAATGTGGTCCACTTACGAGTCTTTACGGTATGTGTGGTCTGATACTGTCAATCTAATATCATACCCTGATGGGAAGTGTACGTGACGAAGCGCGGCGCCCCGAAGCTTCTCCGGCCATCCCCTTTGCCCTCACTCCGTCCCGTAGCAGTGCTCACATATGCGGTGTTCGTTGAGGCATGGCATGTCTATGACGCTGTGCAGAACAATGGCCGTTCCCAGAACTGCCGCGAGTTTTGAAGCGGTGCAGCAATGTCCGCAGAGTCTCACGTTTACGAAGAGACTTCTAGCCGGGTGCTGTGTGTGGGAGTTTAGATGAGCCTCGCCGATGTCCATCCATCTGCAAGGCACATACGATCCTGACTCTGTGCGTTGCAATGTGCGTCGGCCATAAGCATGCACCTAGGGACACACATGCTGACTTTGAGACAATGAACTGTCCGCGCTATGCATGTAACGCCTCACCTTTTGCTCGTGCCTGAAGGCGCCCAGGTACACATGGTTCTGCTTCATCGGCCGCTAATCATACTGCTGGGCTGTGCATGATCAATGAACCGACTGCGTGCGTACAGCACCTGCAAACAGGACCCTGGTTGAACAGTTGAATGTCTGTGTGATCTTTGCAGAGCAATGCACGTGGTCATATGGGCGTTATGTGGATTTCATGGAAGATATGGTATACAGAACCACAAACCACGTTGCAATGCGATGAGACGGGTGCATATATACGTAAATTGCGAGAGCCAGCTTGGAAACTCACACCTATGACCATCCTCCACTCCAGCGCTATGGAATCCATCAAACAGAAGCTGGAACGTCTCGCAGACAGGACGAAAAAATGGAGAATCAGCTCACGACGGCTTGTACAAATCGTGAGTGGGAAAGCGCCACGCATGCGTTCTTGACCATTTACGTGCTGCGCTGCATTAGGTCAAGGGTAAGGCGGTCAAGACTGGCTCATCGGCGACGAGACCTCTGCCGCAGCTTCCGATCGAGGTGTGGGAGAACGTGATTGACCATCTGTGGGACAACCAGTGGGATTTGTTGGAGTGCAGACTCGTCTGCCGAGCATGGTATCCTCTCAGTCGCTTCCACCTGGACAGGAAGATCTGGTTCTCGAGTAGCAAGGGTGCGAAGGCGTATGTAAAGATGCTGAAACAGAGGCCCGAGCTGTCAAAGCGGGCGCAGAATATGGACATGTACGGTTGTTGGGGAGATCTGTCCGCACTGTCGCTGGCGGCGATCCTGCTCGCTCGCAAGCTGCCCCAGCTGGAGACGCTCATGATCTGGGAATCAACGTGGAAGCCGTGGACGATGCACAGAGATGTCTTCCTGCATCTCTCCGCCTTCTCTGTCACTTCCCTCGTTCTCTTATATGTCAGATTCCCATCGATCACCGTCTTTGGGCGCCTCGTCTGCGCCCTGCCACGCCTCGTCGAGCTCGAATGCCACACTCTCCAATTCACGCATGACCATTTCCACCGCGATACATTTGGTCCATATCGTGATCGCGTCAACATCCGCTACTTGAAACTCACAGGAGATCTCCAGAGAATTGAGAAACTCATCGACTTCCTTGCTTATCCTGGCATCTCGAGTCACTTGCAGAAACTCACCCTCAGAGTTACAAATGCGGATGAATCAGGATACAAATGGAACTGGCAGCAATTGCTGGATGCTGCCTCTGGTTCACTCTCAGAACTGCAGTGCAATCTTGAACCCCGGCGGCCCTCAGCACTACAGACGGGTACAGAGGTGTCTACTGCAGGTGTGCGCTCTAGTTTCATGCTAGCATTTCTGCTAACTAAAGTCTCTCCAGGTTTGTCGCCATCATTCACTGACCATACCTCACTGCAGAGACTATGGGTGGAGTTTAATGGTTCTTTTCAAGATTCTGCCCTGGACACATTGGGTCAAATGTTCCTTTCGATCAAGTCAGGCCAGCTTCGAGAAATCGTGATAGTGGTTGTTTGGCATGCACTCTTATATGGATGGAGCAACGCGAAGGAGGAAGTGAAGGGCTTTCTGAAACTCCATCAGTCTGCTCGTTCCAAAGAGATTGACAATCATTTTTCGTCCGATTCATTCGGATTGCTGAGCAGAATAGAATTTGTGCTTGTATACCAGAGTTGGAGAGACAGCCCCGGTGGCCGTGTGGATCGTACAACATTGTCTGGGGAGCAGTGGAAACAGCAACTTGAATCTTTATTCCCACAACTGACCAAGCGAGGCATCTTCCGGTGAGCGTCCCACATTTTACGCCTAGGCTCATGCATTCATCTGTGTCGTGATAATGGAACTACAGCGCCACGATGAGCGAAAAGCACTTTGCAAAGAACTTTTGATTATCACGCCCGTTGTATCTCCAGCAGATCCTTTTCGCGTTCGCGGTCTTGTCTCCGCTCTGGCAGCAGTGAAGGGCACACTCAAATGGACCGCGGAGGCTTCTACCCTCGTCTCGCCGGCTCTTCAAAGTGTCGTATGATCATGCACGTTCTTGGCTACGCACCACGATTTCTTCCGCAATCCCCTACTCCGCATACATCACCCACTACTACATCGCATATATGCAAGTTCCAGCATTCTCCGCACATCGCCATCGCCATTCCGATGCTCAGACGTCTATTTTCTCCATTTCGTCTCCATCTCCATATGCTCCGCCAACGATCGCTTATCCCACGACTGCTACATTGCCCATTCATACACACGCGCAATCCACTGGAATCCATCACACGGTCTCGATAGCGGCCAGGCGATCTTGGTTGGAATTCCCCAGAAGATGTATATCCGTCTGTTTCGTCGTCCTCACGGTGGTGCCGGCGACGCTCATTCTACACTTCGACGGGTGTTTCGATATGGGCACAGCAGACCCTGGGCACATCTCCGCTGAGAGGCTCCTCAAGGTGAACTGGCCTGATATTTTATCTCGTGCCAAGTACATCTTTCCGTGCTCGTATATACGCCACATCCGCAATCTCTACAAACAACGTCAAGACGCTATATCACCCAGTGCACCACGGTGACATGACGAGAGCAGGCAATACAAGTTCACGCGCAGGCTCACTCTAACCGGCGTGACGCTCAACGGAGTCAGCACGCTCTCCCAACCTGTGATCCGCAGGTGCTCAATCAGCCCAGGATAACCTCGATCTCCGTCTGCCTCTCGTCATCAAACTCGAACACATAGCCCCAATGAACACACGCAGCTGGCCTGCCACCAGCTGACATCCCACCGATATACTCCTCTATCGACGATCCGCATCAGACCAGATTCACTTGGACGAGCACAGACAGCTCCGCACCCGAGACGTATGCGCGGACTGTCCATACGCGTAAATGTCAACGCATGCCGGCGGGTCCTTGAGCTTCTCCATACGAAGCAGGAGTCCAGTCGTCCTCAGCTCAACGATCCAGCCAAAACTTTTCACGTCAGGGCCCGACAGCGCGCGGGCCAGGTTCACGAAGGGGATTGGAATGGTGGTGATCTGGCCCGCGCAGACGGAGACGATGTCCACACATTGACATGGAATGTCGCTCGCATAGGAGATGGAAAGCGGCATGACGGTGCCCTCGATGCCCATCGAACACGATGCGAATGTGAGGGCGGAGTCGCACGAACGTACAAAGCTGGGGTATGATGGCGTGCCACACCGTGTTCGACGACTTGGGGATGCAATCACACTGCATCTACTGGATGACCGCGTCGAGGTACGCGAGCACATGCGATAGCAGCTGTGCTCGCATCGAGTCTGTTCCTCATCAAGCGCACGAACTGCTCAGGTAGCTTGTGCTGGACGCCAGGCTGCTTGTGCTGGACGCCAGGCTGCTTGTAAAGCTCAAGGACTCGATGACGTACCCTGCGTATCTTGTGGATTTGACATCAGGACAGCGGAGGATCTCAAGTGTGGAATAAATGGATCAGGTAGGGGCCGTTGGAAGTGTCATGAATGGATCGGAGTCGTGTTGGCTCACTGGATGTTGTCGCATACACCGCACGTTTCAGGATCTTATGTACTGATAGTACGAGCTTATCGTAGTTCCACTGTTCATTTTTCGTTCGTAGCACAGAGGATTTTTTGCTCTTTGACTTGATTATTGCAATATACCCAAGCCCCGTTCATCACCGCTTGCATCAGCCGAATCAGAACACACACGCACCAATTGATAGATATCCTGATTCTCTATCACGCCCTCGACTGTAGTTGCTCCCCTGGGCCTAAGGGCGAACCAGGCTTCATCGACGTGCCTCGATTCAACTGTGTAGAGAGGCGTTCAGATGTTGAGTTCGGTCACATCCATTCTCTACTCTCGACAAGGAGAACATGGCGGATGTGGTCGGTAACCATGGCGCGCGGAGGATCTGAGGGAGAAAGCAATTATTAGTTGTAAATTGGGGGTGCCATCCGCGGCTTTCCACGGTGTGATTGCGTTCCTGCCACATAAAGCAACTTTATCCGTGTGAGGGCAGACAGCGAGCACAGTTCGACTGTGAACCTCCTACCATTCCAGGTCCTTGGACCTGCAAACTGTGAGCCAAAGGGGCCAATCTGATCGGCTCGGAAATGACACTGATCGGCAATAATGTTTCAATGAGTATTCTATACAAAATTCGGCACGACAACGACAACATAATTCAGATAGCAGTAAAGCGTGTAGATAAGTGGTCCATCCAAGCCATCAATTTGTAGTAGCAGCCGGCGGAGGGAGACCCGCCAGACGAGCATTGACCTTCTGTCGATGTAGCCTGTTCCGCAAGTGCACTTCATAGTTCTGCAGTGTCTCGCCTGGTCCAGGTGTGTAGAGCTGCGGCGGCCAGTGGATCAGGGCTCCGAATCTGTAAGTAACTCAAGCAACGCACCTTTCCGGGACAGTCCAGACACTTGAGGCGGAACTCGGAGGGATTGCCTTTTCGCTGTGTTACCTCAAATCTATCATCAGGGTATCTCGCCTGCATCTCGTCCATGGCATCCTTCAGCCATTGTGGCACAGAGATCTTCTCGTCCGCAGTCAGTCTTGAAGGACGATTCCCCAGTATCAGTGGAACTTACCGGCTGTGATGAATTCGGAGGGGCAGAAGGACGAGCCGGTTGTGGAGATGCTGTAGGAGGCGCCGCAGGGAGTGCAGCTTGTTGCGGCTCTGAGTCAGGAGGAGCCGAGCGTGAATGCCCAGCGCCGTTCGTTCTAGCAATCCGCTGCGCGAGAGGCGACTCAGATGCACTAGACGCCGTCGAGACGGGCGAAGCAGCTTGATTCGAGTCGCTCGTTGTGGCGACGATCTGCGGAGCAGGGGGCACGTCCACCCAAGTCTCGCTGTTGGGACGAACAGGTGTCGCTGGCTCCACTTCGCCGTCGTCCTGCCCCCGTTTCGCCCGTTCATCGACTGCCGAAGCTGGAGGACGCCTGCGCTTAGCAGCCACCCTCGCTTGTTCAGCTTCCCTCACGAGGTTGAGATGATACTCAGCATCCGAGTTGTACTCGACTGGACGAGGCCGACGATGTCGATGCCAGAATTTGCCTGATGCACGTCAGATAAAGAGATAGAGCGAAAGGGGAAATTGGACTTACCACATGTGCCGCACTGCGACTTGTCTCCGAGTGGACCCTTCCTACGGCCCACAGCTATGCTTTCTGGGCAACCACAGTTCGAGCAATGCCAAACCCCATTTATCATATTCGGGTGCTGGCCATCAGCATATTCCTTCTCTTTGGCTTCTCGCTCGCGCTCCTTTTGTTTCTTCTGTGTCAAAACAACCCTCGCACCCTTACTGTCAGGAGCAGCACTGCTGCTAGAGATAGGAATGTCGTTCTCGATTGGAGGAGGAAGTGACGAGACGTCAGCAGCCGTAGATGGAGTAAGACTTCTGAGCTGTGCCCGGGGAGGAAGAACGGACGCTGGATATGACGGTGCCTTGAACAGGCCTTTTGCCTTCTTCTCCTTAGGCGCAATGGGAGTTATCGGCGTAAGAGGTGCAGGCTGGCTTGGTGGCAGCGCAGCAGTGCCATTCTCTGAGGCGACCATGTTGGCAATTGTAAGAGAGGCTGCCGCAGCCGCGGCCCGTCTTGATGTGGGAGCGACGGCGGCATTGATGGAGGCGAGTGTAGCCGCATCGATCTCTGGGAACCCAATAGCAGGTGTGCGGAAAGTTTTGGGAGGTTCTCTGTCTGGAAGGGCGATGCCTCTTCTACCGCGTGTCGTCTTGCGCCTCCGTCTGTTAAGCTCCTTCTCACGCTCCTTCTCGTTCCGCTCGATCTCGCTGTCGCTGAGATAGCTCAGTATTGGCGTGAACGCTGAGACCTGGTCCATGGCGCGAGCACCGGTGGTCAACGACGGCAGTAATGACATGCGGAGATCATCATCCTGCACTGCGGACCCATCGGATGGGTGGCCGACCAGGAAGAGGGACTTCTGATAGATTTGCACCTGCTCTCTGATAGAGTGTGCGATAGCAGTTCTGCAATTCGTGCACAAACTTTAGTGAGTGATATAGCGACCACATCAAGAACGAAGTCTTACTTGAACTCTCCTCCGAGTCCCAAGTCCCTGGCATAGATTTCAGCAAAGCGTTCCGGGGTCGGATCGCTATTATCCAAATTCCACTCGAATTGGTCTTCCAACTTCACCGACCCCACGATGATGTCAAGCTGATCCCGAAATGACACATCAACACGTCATGGCGTAGGAAACACTGAATTAGTACCGACCTTTACGAGGATACGCATATCCTCTTGGAATGAGTTCTCGTCCTCCTCAATATCGTTCGCGGTCAGCGGCGACCCAGAATCGGGGGCTTTCGGGACAGTCGGTTGCTCAACAGTCTCCTGCTTGACCATCTTCCGCCGTTTCCCACCACGACCGTCCATTCGCAAGTGGCTGTGTTTGTACACAGAGCCCGACAGCACCTGTTGTCTCCAAGTCTCCCACCACTGGGCTTCATTCTCATCCATGGACCCACACTGGATCTCGTCAGGCTCGGAAGAGATGTTGAAGCCGTCTTCGCCGAAGAACGTGGAGTGTGCTTTGAAATCACTGAGCTGATCCTGAATATGTTTCGTGATGACGCTATGATACGAGGGCGCCAAAGCATAATCGTCCACAATAGATTGTGCGAAAATCTCAGGCGTGACGATGGGATCTGTAGAACCCATCAATAACATGTTCTCGGATATAACGGTAAGAAAACGTACCATTGAGGTTCCAGATGAAGGTATCACGCAGTTTATGATGTTCAACGTCGATTTCCAAGCGTATAGGCACCAGCTGTTCTGGTCGATTCGCATCTTCTGCTGGTAATCTCCTAGGGCTAAAACCATCCATTAGCGTCTGCAACGGGACATAGGCAGAGGCAAATCTCGTGACACTCACAGCTTCAAACCCTCCCGCTTACCCGCCTTCCTTCTCTCCTTGCCCTGCTTCAGGCCCGTCAGCGACCACTTCTCTGGCCTCCGCCTATTCACAACCCGCCCATCCTCCAGCGCCGATTCCCGCTCCCACCACGCCCTCGGCTTAGCGACCGTATCACGCATCTCGCCACTCATCCGCTCACGCATCTGCTTATACCGAGCGTCATACTCCTTGTCGACCTTCATCCACACCTTGATATCCGCGACCTCATCCTCCGTGAGCGGCGGGATCCGCGTCGTCGACTCCGCGAGCGGAACCACAGAAATCCGCGTCACTTTCGGGTTAAGCTGCACGTTCGGTGGGAGCGGCGGTAGCTGTGGGATGATCGTCGGCGCTGCAGGCACTGCGGGCACAGCGGGTTGAGCGGCAGGGGCGGAAACGCCGTTGACGCCCGGAACAGCCTTTAAGGTAGAAGCAGCAGCGTCGGACGCCGTCGTCGAGCCTTGAAGAGACATGGATGCACCAGAGAGACTGATCCCGTCCGTCGAGCCCATCTTACGATCCATACCCGCAAGCTGCGATCCCTGTCCCATAAGGCCCGCACCATGACCCATCAGACTCGTCAAACCAGCAGCACTGCTCGGCGACGAGAGATTCTGAAAGGGAGATGATACCGGCGGCTGCGATGGCTGGCGCGCCTGCTGCTGAATCGGCGTCTGTGGGATCGGCATGTCCATACCTCCCAAACCCATCCCTAGCCCGATCCCATTCGCCATGGCACGCGGATCAGTGTGGCCGTGCGCTTGCACTGGCGAGGACACCGCGGAGCTGGACGTCAGCGCGCTGGGGAAATTGGGATTGAGACCGATGCCCCCGCCCGACATCTGCCGCGAGATGTTCGGCGTCGGGAAGCCCATGCCAACACCCATGCCTATGCCCATATTCACCCCCATCATCTCGCTTGCATGCTGCTGCTGCTGCTGCTGCTGACTCCCTACGCGCGGGATGACCGGCGGGCCCATCATCCCCCCACCCGCACCGCCGATCAAACCCATACCAATCCCAATCCCTCCAAGCATCTGATTCTGCGCATGGTTCGTTGGACCCATATTCCCCGTGATGCCCATCCCGCTCAGTCCAGTCGCGCTTCCCACGCCATTCGCGCCCGGCGCTATGCTCGAGATCTGCGGCATCGACAAGCGGGGCGTCCGCGGCGGCACAGGTACCTGATGCTGCTGTTGCTGCTGTTGCTGTTGTTGCGGCTGAGGCTGTATCGGGATATGAGACTGCATCGACGTCTGAGGTTGTATGGGCGTCTGTGGCTGGGGTTGTTGCGACTGCTGCCTAGGCACAGGCGTCCCGTCCACGCCGCGCTTGGAGCCGCGCACAGGTGAGTCCGGCTGCGTCGGCGCAGGCGCGATGGGCGGGTATCCACCGCCAGGCTTTATACTCTGCCCCTGCTGAGCGAACGCACCATTCTGCGCCTGCTGCTGTTGCTGTTGCTGCTGTTGTTGCTGTTGCAAGTGTTGTTGCTGCTGCTGCTGTTGGTGCTGTTGAGCAAAACCCGCTGCAGTCGGGGGCCTGCTCGGCGTTTTGCGCCCCATCCCATCCTGTCCCCCTCCCCCTCCCATCCCTCCATGCATCGAAAGACTCGTACCCGGCCTTACCATCGGCGCAGGGCTCCCCATAGGCCGCGGCTGGATCGGCACCGGCGCCGACACGCTCACATTCGGGAGCGGTCCACTAGATCCGCGCGGGCTCGGCGACGCGCCCGGCGCACCTCCCGTATTCGGACGGGGCGTCGGCGCTGCGAGGTTCGGATACGACCCGGACGCCTGCGAGCGGTGCGACGTGGCCGTGGCGGGGCGCGGAGGGATCGACAACGGCGGGGGCATCATCGCGGACGGCGCGCCCTGTCCCATCCCCATCCCCATCCCCGCACCGATGCTCTGCGCGCTCTGGTTCTGGAACGGGTGATGCGGCATCTGCTGGTTCGGCTGCGGTCCCTGTGGCTGGATCTGTCCCTGCGAGAGCCTTTGCGATCCCGTCGACGCCGCCGACGACGGCCGTTGCTGTTCATACTGGCCCTGCGAGAGCTGCTGGAAGCGCTCGTGCTGCATTTGCTGCAGCTGCGCTGGGCTCACGCCATGCATCGCGCCCGGGCCCATATTCGCGTTCATCCCGCCCTGAGCATGCATCTGCTGCTGCTCGCGCATCATCCTCTGCATCTGCGCCATCTTATACTGCTGTATCGCGCGATCGCGGTCCGCGGGCTGCATCTGCGTCAGCTGCACGATCTGCATCGGGGTCAGGTTGACAGAGGGGCCCTGCCCGCTGTGCATGTCCGGCGCGCCTGCGCCGTTCGCGGAGATGCTCTGCCCCGCGCTGGAGAGCTGCGCTTGAGGCACGGTTGGGCTTGCACTCGTACCGCCCATGCCCATGCCCATGTTCCCGCTCGCATTCGAGTTCGTCGGTGAGGACGCGCCTGCGGAGGACGTCGGTCGTCTATGCACGTGCATATGCCGAGCGCGCTCACCTCCCATAAGAGCAGCAGGGTTGATGCTGCCCATCCCGCTCATGTTGCCCATCCCGCCCATCAACGCAGCCGGGTTCATCGTGCCTCCGCCGCCGCCCGAGCCACCGCCCATCATGTTCATCATCGCCGCCGGGTTCACGCCGCCGCCCATAGAGTTCATGAATGCCGCCGGGTTCATCCCACCCATGCCCGCGTTTCCGCCGCCCATGCCTGGCCGCGCTGACGTTCAGAACCGCAACACGCAACGATAACGAGCGTGAAACGCACCGTTCATGCCCATCCCGCTGCTATTCATGTTCTGCAGCAGCTGCGCAGGCGTCACACCGCCCATGCCCCCGCTCTGCCTCTGCATCTGCTGCATCTGCTGCAGCCTCATCAGCGTGGCCGGATTGATGTTGCCCTGTCCCGGATTTGCGCCACCCTGCTGCTGGTGTTGTGCGAATTGCTGAAACATTTGTGGGTTGAACGGCCCGCCTCCGCTGGCGTTGCGAGCGGCATATAGTTGCTGGATCTGCGCTGCGGATAAACCTTGCCCGCTTGGGCCTGCATTCGTATTCATGTTGGCACTTTACGTGTTGTTGTGCAAAAGATCTGTGGGTGGGTTGGTTACGAGGCTTTGGTAGACATAGACGAGAAACAGACATACAGATGCTTGAATGGAGAACAAACGATGTAGGTATGTTCTGAAATATTGAATTGACTGCTGAGGCACAATGTCAGTAACATTGATGGAAACGAGCAATAGGCATAGGCAGAAAGAGAGTAACGGTCGTCAGAAATAAAGCGAAGACGATGAATCCACGCGAGTGCAGACATAGTGAAGTGCATACAGGAAGGGAGCAAGCAAGGGAGCCCCGAATATGGAGCGGCAGGCATGACGATATCGCTCGACATGCTCACACCAACGAACGCGATGCGGATGAAATGGATGGCAAGGGCAGGCAGCGTGGATGTGGGTTATCGATCATAGGGCATGAAATCGGGGGCGCAGGAGTCCGTTCAACTGCTGCAGCATACACTCACCTCTAGAATAGACCAATCCTCCAATGCGTGTCCACCTGGAGGATGTCGGATGCTGTAGCAAGAAGTAGTTCGTCAGCATCATGGTGCGGATGCACGTAAGACCGTCAATGAGACCACAGAACTGTCCATTGCACTCGAGCGCTTCTTCGGCGACTTTCGCGAACTCATGTAGGAAAACCAAAGGAAGAAGAGCCCGTGAGCCGGCCACGACAGCGTTATGGCATACGCACTAAGCGATGACACTAGAAACACTCTCCCGTTGTATGACCAAGGGAGGGCCGTTCTGGCCAGCATTAGAGGTCGCCACTTTCATATGCTCACTCCAGTGTCCCATTCTGTCACCGCTCGCTCGGCACCCATCAAAACACGGCCACGGTTAACGTGGGAGAGGAGTGCGGGGGGGCGGTTGAGATCAAGCGGCCATGCGATGCAAGGACAGGAACGGATGCAAAAGGGACGGAAAGGAGGAGGGAGACACGCCCAGGGGACGCGTAGCACGGGACGGGAGGGGAAGAGGTCAGGGGACCGCGATTGGAAAAGGGCGCACGGACCAGGAGGATATGAAACGGCGGAGGGACTCACGATAGAGGGTGGATACGGGTGGGAGCCGCCGAGCCTGGAGGGGCGCACAGAGAAAGGGCGACTGCGTGGGCCGATTCCGAGGCGATTGCGGGGGAGCCGACAAATCAGCAATGGATGGCTCTTCGTCCGTCCGTGTCTGGAGATGACGACGCGGATCGGAAGGGAGGCAGATTGGAAGTCGCGGGTGCCGGGACGATGGAGATCTGCCAGGTTCTGCCAGGTGCTTGCGGCCCCGTTCGCGTGCGACGCAGGCGCAGATGAGCCCAAGTCACACCACAAGTGACGAGCACAGCCTCTGCGGTCACGCGTCACACGCGCGCAACCCGCCACCGCGACCAAATGCGGCAGGTGCGGCGCGTCGGGCACACGGCGGGCACACTCGCGCGGGCGGCGGCGCGCTGGCTCGGATGCACATGGGCGGCGGCGAGCAGGGGCGGGATGCTTGACAGGAGGGAGAAAGGCCGGAAATGGAGGATCCCAGGGCCGCCAGTCCAGATTCCCGATCTCCGATCCCGCCATCCACCTGCAGCCTCAGCTCAATATTCGCGCCCTTCCATCTTCTCCTATTGACCGTGTCCACCCTCTTCTCGCCACGCGGCAGCTTGTATTGCACAAAGTCACACATTACATCACGCTTCTCTCTGCCACTGCGCGCAGGCTTCCCTCAGAGTCTTCTTCTCGGATGGGGTGCCAGCTCGCAGCCATCGTCCTGCCTTATTTTCTCTAGTCGACGCCTCCTCGCGTCATCCGGTCATCCAAGCTCAAGCTCAAGGTTCGGCGCTCCCCGGTCGTTCACCGCACAAGCCGAGCGCATCATCCGCACTTGGAGCCCATCTGAAATGACGAGCAGGCCGCATCAGGCCGCTCTGTGTTACTCCTCATAGCGGATGCTCGTTACGCTTCTCGGCCGGCTTACGTTCTGTTCGTAAACACGCACGGTACCACCTCAAACACCGTATCCATTCTATTGCGTCGCTCCAGCCGCTGACCGTCACCTGTGCGTTTCTCGCGGCTAGACTCTCCAGTACGCCTATTACGTTTTCATCAAGAGACCGAGCCTCGCGGCAATTGCGCACTGTCAGGCGCTTTGCATGACGTGCCTGGTATGTCGACGCTGCACTCGGCAACGTCATCGGTTCGGAGACCTACTCCCAGTGCGTCAAGACATTAATCTTACAACTGGTCGCACATGGTCCCCTTCCGAGTCTCATTCTGGTCAAGTCCTCGTTTCAATAGGCGCTCACAATGCAAGGTTGGCCTGTCGCAAGTCACACGACGTACATCATTTGCGTCTGTGAAACGCAGCTGCATATCTACAAAGTCATGCACTGCGGCTCCCAGCTCGAGCCTCTATCGCCGAGCACTCACACTCACACGACCGGGGTTACACCGCGCGCTCCGATCAAGCGCCTGACTGACCGATTCGCTATTCCTTGTATTACAGGTTCGCGGAACGCATATGACACTGCCTCCTTCATTCCCTCCGTCATCAGTGTCAACGTCAGGCTCGATGTATGACCATCAAGGTCTACGCACGGAACATGGACGACACGATCTGCAACCGAGTTTATCGCACGCTGTCTGCCGCGGTTCCTGAATGCTTGACTTATAGTATCGGGCGCCTCCTCGCGTCACTTCTACATGCGGTCGTGCGTCGTCTGTCGAGAGTATCACCGCTGATGCTGCCTCCGGCCAACTTCCCCTTTCAGACTGCTCTCCCCGCCAAGGGCAAGGGAACGGTGGATCTAGAAATTGCACCGCGTCATCCAGAGAGCCTTCGCCCCTGCGCACAAGTGAACGTGGCCGCAGACGTATTGACGCTGCTTCTCCTATCGAGAGTCGTCGGATAGACCAGATACCTCGGTGAGTACGTCGCATGTCTCATCGATGGGGTTCAGAGTCTGAATGAGAAGAGAGCGTCGCTTATTCGCTTAGCATGGAAGGGATTTGTGCACATGCGGGCTGCTTCATCGAGAGTAGGTCACTAGGACAGTCACCATCAGCCTGTATTCGAACGTAACTCTGGTTTAGCGAGGACGAGTTGTGGTAATTGAGGTGTCATCATCCATCGGCTAACGGGCTTGATCTTCATGCAAGCGTGCTGCTCAGTGGCGAGTAATACCTGATTCGTCTGATATGCACTATTTTTATCGTGTGCGTCCTGTCATTTTACGCCATCACGATATCCGTTTGAAACTATATTAATATTCCTGTTTCAATGGCCAGTGTGTGCGGATATTCGCTTCGGAGGCTTGCGGGTGGTCGTGTCAAAATGCATGGCTATACCGCGCCGACGGTGACGTGGGAAATAACCCTTGCCAGCGTGGTATTTTGCCGACTTGCCTTGAACTCCGAGTACCAAAGACCAGACTCAGCGTCTCGCGTTCGTGTCAACAGCTATGATGTGACTATGGCTCACTCGTTGACAATGCAGTCGAGTTTTTACACTGAAGCTTCAATAGACACAGTGGAGCTCAGGATGTAGCTCAGCGAATTTGGATAACTATCTCCGAGGAAGCTCTCTGCCAAGCTTTTCGCGCCAGTAATGCAGCCGGCAGGCACAGTAAGGATAGAATGCATGTGTCACAGATAGGAGGATCACTGGAGACAGGGTATCCTTGAGTCTTGACTTGAAAACGTATCACGGTGGAAGCAGCCGACGATGCAACGTAAGTCGGAAAGATGCGGCGCGACGGTTTCAGAAAAGAGGTCAGGTGACCGCGTCTGCAGTGTTGGGCCTGCTGAGAGAATTTCGGAACAAGCCCTCTGGTTGATCGTGTATACTGCGAAGTCTTCTGCAATGATCACCACTATATACCGGTCCCGCACTCTGTATCCGGAGTTCTTAATTCTCGTGGTACCGTTAATAGCCAACTCCCAGTATCATGCAAAGTGCTCGATCCGAGTCCACGTCACGGTGTTCCGGCGGTATCCAGGCATCAATGCATCACCTTGGCCAAGCTAGAAGCCCATTCATCGACGATCGTTGACACGAAGACGTACGTCGTACCACACGCAGATCCTCATCAAACCTCATAGAGCTGCAACAAAACCCTCTCGGACAAATTCCCTACTTCTCAGTAGACATGACTTCGAAAAACGTAGTATTCGGGACTGCTGCACATTATCGAAATGTCCTTAACGTAAGAGCTTTCAGAGCTCCCAGGGTTTGCGCATCTCATGTTTTGGATGTACCTCTACGCATCATGGCCTCCTCAGCGCGTCCGACCGTTGAGGAACAAACTCGCCGCAGGAGAAGAGATCAAGGTGGAGGAACCTATGAGACTCCTCACATCGCTGGATACGGTCGGTAACGATTTACTCGGCGATGCATTCGCCACGTATTGATTTGTTCTATTTATCAGGCGTTGGAGCATCTAACAACCAACGGCGTGCTCGACATGACGGAACGAGTGGAATTGCTGAAGATACTAAGATATTTATGCAGCAAGGTTGGGGAGCTTCCAAAGGCGATCTGGCTCCCCCAAGACGCGATAGAGCTGGAGAGGTCAGACGGAGCTGCGGCCAGGGGAGGGTTCGCAGATGTCTACCGCGGGACGCTGCTCGTCGGCGGTCAGCGTGCATCAGTAGCAGTGAAAATGATTCGCGAGGATGCGGGGGATCCGGCGAGGATTCGTGCTGTACGTCTTTATACAACTGTACCTCCGTCATGCGCGAGATTGTGCCACTTACATCTGGCGGTGTTCACGGCAGGAATGCTTCAAGGAAGCGGTCGCCTGGAGGCATTTCAAGCACCCGCATATCGTTCCGTTCCTAGGCGTCTGCCTCGTCGATTCAAGCATATGCTTGGTCAGCAGCTGGATGACAAACGGCACTCTGGTTCGCTTCCTCCGGGACTCTCATTTTCCTGAAAACCGCAGGATCGGCTTGGTGAGTATGCGACGATATGAGTCGTCAACTATCGCTTAAGCTTCACATCGCCCAGCTGGTCGATGTCGCATCAGGACTTCGTTATCTGCACCAGCACGAAATCGCTCATGGGGATTTGAAAGGCGTGCGGACCATCCAGAACCTCTCGTGCCGAGCGACTCCTAATCTGTTTCATGCCAGGCAAATGTCTTGATCGATCGAGTGTCTCCTTGGGAGTACGTTGCGCGCATAGCGGACTTTGGACTCTCTACAACGATAGAAACGATGACGCGGTCCTGCGGCAGCGGCACCATCCGCTGGATGGCACCGGAGCTCCTCGACCCAGAGAGTTTCGGCTTGGAGCACGCGCTGCCATCTAAGGAAGCTGACATATATGCCTTCGCTATGGTCATGTGGGAGGTAAGAACACTTGGTCCTTTCAATATAGCGTTGACCAAGACAGATAGGTGTTTACCGAGGAAATTCCCTTCTACGAGTCTCCGAACGATGCAAACGTCATATCAAGAGTCTTCAGAGGGGAGCGGCCTAAGCGTCCTGTCGGCATTACCGGCTCACGGGGCCCGTTCAAAGACTCGATTTGGATTTTGATGGAAGAGTGTTGGAAACAAGAGCGGGACGCTCGCCCACCTGTGGGAGTGGTGCTCGATCGTCTCTGCATGGAATCTTAGAACGACAACCACTTGGAACATGACAGGACCTCCTGAACTTCATATCTACGCTCTTTGGCATACTAATGCACATACAGTAAATGGTTCCACTCTCGAGTCATACTTTACTTACGGCCTATGTGCTAAATGAGACCAGGAATGAATCGGTCAGGGATCCTCTTCGCCCACTCCTCCCACTCTTCCGGGAAATCCGCACTGAATAACTCTTCTTCCTTCAGCGCTTTCCTCAGCAAGACCCCTACTGCGAGCATCTGCCCCGCCGGAAACAAGCAGGCGAGCGTCCGCCCAACAGCGCTCTCGAACAACTTCGATTCCATAACCAACGAGCCCGCGCTGCCGAGCCAAAAGACGAGGCCGGTGATGTTCATGCACAGGCCGACGTAACTCGGGTGCCGCACGACGGCATATGGACCGTTCTTGCACAGCCTGTGTTTGCCATTGGTCCTGATCGTCACTTCTGACATGAAGTGACGGCAATAAACATGCAGACATTCCATCCGGATGCACACGCCGAGGATGCTGAGGGCGAAGCCGATGAGGAACACCTGGTTGATGGCCAGCTTGCCCGATGAGGTCGTCATCGTCTCTGGATGGGTCGATACGAACTTGCCGAAGGTCGTCGAGGGATATTCTGCCGCAATGATTAGGATGATTTCGCACGCGGCCGCGCACCACCCTATGAACTAGCAAGCGCGATTGAGTCAAACACGATGCACGGGACTTGAAAGCTACTGGCTAACCTTGTTCATCTCGAATAGCCGTCTCACCATACTCAGGGATATGCGATCAATGTGTGTCACATGCTTCGCATTGCCGTCCTCTGACGGTGGCGGCGACGATGAAGTGGTGAATGCGACATGGTTGCTCAGGGCAGCAGCAAGCAGGAACAGGACCTTCAAGAGAGCCATGATGCGTGTACGCGGAATTGGTGTTGTAGGCAAGTGAAACTGTTCAGAAGTTGCCGTCTCCTGCTCTGACCTCTCGCGCCTTTATACTTCAGGTGTGCTCGCTGCTATACGTTTTCATTGTCAACATTATGGACGTTGCCTTGGAAGTCCTCGGTCAGAAGCTGTGCCCGAAGCAACCTTCTGAAGGCTTCTTGCATATTTGGGTACTTCGCGGCCACAATCTGGAATGGAAGTTTCGCGAACTATCTACCAAAGAAACCGATAGTAGCCGGCGGTGACAGTGGTGGTTTGTCATAAGCTCGCGTACCCGCGTACCCGCGAGGAGTACTACGTCCCTATGCCGCTTATGTGCGGCTAGGCGGATCTTCTAACTTAGAAGCACATCAGCCGACAGCGACGTCGGGCACATGGCATCGCTCGGACGTACATCTGATTCTAAGAATAGACGATTATCTCCTGGTCAGCAATGAAGGTGACATCCATACAAGATGCAACACGCAGACGAGCATTACAGGTTATCAATGGCCTACGGGAAACAGGCATGCTGATCGTCTCGTTGAGTAGCCGATCATCATACGCCTCGAGTCGGTAGTCCAGCACTGTTATATGAGCATCAGCCTAAATGATGTGTCAAATTTGGACATAAGACTTCAATTGGTGTGCTCCGCTATTTTTGGCCGGGAGGGCTCTTTCCACTGACATAGGTTACCCGACCCGACCCTGAGATGGCTCTCGCCAGCTATGTACATGAAGCCTCCCACCCCCGTTCCTCGAAGTCTGTGCATAAGCGTTTTGACATTGTCCTGAATGGTTGGTGTCTAATATACGTCATCGAGCCGGTGTTTTATGTTGTTTCGATTGTCAATTGACTAGTTATTTTTATATTTTCCCACCGCTATTTAAAGCGTACGTCCCCGTAGTACTTCGTAGTACTTGAAAGGGTGGGGCCCGAAGCCACATTGTGTCTTCGACAAAGGCAAGTTCCAGCGTCGTGCGTCGCGTCGATTGGTTGAGAGCTCGTGCAGCGGCTCGGGGTGGCGTGGGAACCCACTTGAGATCGGTGACGGAAGTGGCACCTCACACACATTTCCGCATCCCTCACCGTCTGCAACATCTTTATTGCCCATCTACGATTGACTGTACATCTCAACTTGCATAGATTGGGTTCATCCGTATGCATCAGAAGTGACTTCGACAATCCCAGGGTATCGCATCATTTGGTGAGAAGGGATCAGAGACATTAATGGATCATTGTAGGGCCTATGATACCTAATTGAAGCGAGGATAGAACACAAAAGGTATAGAAGAAAATCGTATATATCTGCCCGAGCGTAGGCAGCCAAAGTACGATGCACATCATAACATGTCGTAAACTGGGTCGTCGTGTGTTCACCGCAGACTACTGTCATTAGCGCCCACTGTCGCTGACCGCGTCTTCCCGTGGGCAACATGGGTGGTGCCCGTACCTGCGCCCGTGGCGGCGCCGGATGCAGCGGGGCCGTTGCTCCCGTCGAGGCTGCCCGACCGTGCTCGGGAGGCGGCCTGCTCGTGAACACGGGCGAGCTTGGACTCGCGCATGGCCTAGGTATGGTAACGTGAACTGTAGTCTTGAACCGTCATTGAAAAAACTCACGTCATTGGAAGCTTTGCGCTGCTGTATCTCGACGACGGCCTCATGCTGCTTGTGCAGGTCCTGCTCGAGGCGCGCCTCTTGCTGCTTCTTCAGCTAATAATGAGTCAATGTCAGTCACATTGTGCATTGTGGGAAGAAATAGACTGCAGACCGACCTCCAGCGTCTTCGCGGCGTTGCGCTGGTCGGCAATGGCGCTCTCATGCTGGTGCTCGGCCTTGTTCAGCGCCGCAGCAGCCTTGTGTTCATTCTCTATTGCCTTGTCGAGCTCATGCTGCGCCTTGTCTGCAGCCTTCTCCCTTCCGTGTCAGCGGCGTCCCATCCATCCCTCGACGCACGCACCTTGACACTCTTATTGTGCGTGGTGCCGGCACCCTTCAAATCCTTGATCGCATGGTCGACGTTCTTCTGATCGTTCCGCGCTTCGGAGGAGATGACCTTCTCGAGTTGGCGGATTTCGGGGTCTTCAGTCGCGCTGCCAGACTTCGACGGACCGAACAGTCCCATGGTTGTTCAAAAGTGTTCGTAAACGGCGTTTATGAAACGAGAGCACAGTGAGGGATGGTGAGCCGTAAGTGGCGTGTGCAAAGTGCAAAGATGTGGCGGACGCGGCGGGCAGTGGCGCCGCTTTATATAGTGTGCGGGGGAGGCGGCGTCATCACAGGTCAGCCTGACCCCGCTCCTGTCCCTGCGTGTGACGTCACGCGTCCCGCGTCGCGTTCCTACTCACTTGCCGATTCGGGAGGGCATCGGCGCTTGATGCGGGTTGTGGCGCATCTGGGTGAATATTGTTTTCCCTCAGCACATGCCACAAGCTACAGGGCGACTGGACTTTACCGGCTTGCCACGATGCATGATAAGCGGTACGATGCACCAAGCATGACAGACTATGTGGTCCAATAGGTCAATAGATCGAGGATGAAATCTTGCAGGAGTCAACTATGAAAGACAAATCCACAACATTAAGCTAGGCAACAAGTCAGCCAGGGGGTCTAAGCTAGTGATGATAATGTTTATAGCGTACCGCCAGATGACTAGCCACTCAATGTGGCCTGTATTCTCTCCTCTTCCTCAGCCCACACCGGTATTTGCAGCGTGTACGCGCTCTCGATATGAGCATACGCGAGGTCATCCAGCCGCTGATTACCTTGAACTTCGCTGGATCGACAGTACCCCGCTCGTTCAGTATGTCTTTGCGGACGTGACTGTACTTGACCAGCCCGGGGATCATCGTGTTCATGTTTACACCGGTCTCCGGGTGAACAATGTCGATTGCTTGGTATAACTGGATACGGGGCATGTAATTGAGGTGAGAATATCCGGCATGGTTGCGCTGCTGCGGTGTACCTCGCATTCCATGCCGAATGCGCTCTCCTTTACTCGCGGCGCCTTGACATGTATCTAGGTACGATGTAGAACTCGGCCGCATTCACTTGCAGAGTTTAAGAACACCAACGCCTTGCTCCTTCATTAGTCCGCTCAGTGGCCACCCGCTCACTTCCGAGGGCGCATCAGTGGAGCACGCATTTGCCGCCTCCACCCATGGCTCGCTGATGAGGTTTACCGTAAAGCCTCTCGAGGACTTGATGTTGTTCGTCATGTCCTTGACGCGCTTGGGACCGCTGATGCACGAGATGAACACGAGTGGTGGGTTCTGTGTGACCTGCGTCGAATAGTCTACCATCAAGTCATTATCAATGTAAGTGAGCTCTATTGTCGCTCTGTGAGTTCAACTGGAGATGAAGATCAGTAGCGCACGACGTACCTGAACGGCGAGATGTTCTCCGCTCCGCTCTCCGAGACCATGAACACGAACGCAATCGGTCTCAAAACAATCCCCGCTGTTCATGAGCGAATACGCTTTCCTGCGATGATCCACACATCCTCAGTGCAATCCCTCAATATCGGCGTCCAAGCGACGTACATGGGATCCTCCTTCGCCGTGTCGACAACCTTTCAACCGGCCTTCTCGCCCTCCATCCACGCTCTGCCCTCCGGAGTGTCAGCAACCTTCTGCCCATAGTGCCACTGTGGGTTGGGCGACTGAGTGAGTTGGAACTCTTGTGAAGAGTTGAGGGATGGGAGGCTGTTGGTGGAAACCATCGCAGGAGTATTACCAGCATTGGTACCTTCTGTTCCTTGAGTGACACCGTCACCGAGACAAGAGGAGTCGGCACAGCGTGTACTGGTAATGCCAGTCCGACGAAGGTCTCACGATAGCACGTCGCGCAATCCGAACCAGCATGAGCGTCGATGATCCGTTTCAAGCGCGTTTAAAACGCGGATGCGGTAACTAGATATAAGAAAGACCGGTGCCAGCATGGACTGTGCAGATAGTCTAGTGATGGTTAATAGTCTATGCAGCACGCTTGTCAGGCTACCAGAAACCATCATAGCCAGCGTCAAGGCATTTACGCAAAACCAGCTGCAGTGGCCCCGAGGTTTGCGGGTTGCCCTTCTTGACATACGTGCGCCAGCGCCTAAGGGTTAGTACCGCAGTCTACACTCCTTGTTTTCCTGTAATCAAATCCTGCTGAAACTTGTTCGCATTACGAAATGATTTTAATCCTGTATTGGCTTTGCGGTAGCTGAGAGATAATCCCAGGATATCGCCTCATTTGCCAGTGGTGAGAGGGTATCAACATGAATGGATTACCATGTGGCTCATAGTACCTGATACCTAATTGTAGCGAGAGTAGAACACAAGAGGTATAGAAGAGAATAAAGGTCCTGATAGATCTGCCCGAGCGCGAGCAGCCAAAATTTATCGCACATGACACGTCGTAAATTAAATCGCCGTGTTCTCACCGCAGACTATTGTGACCGACCGGGGTCGCCGCCTGCGTCTTCTCGTGAGCAATGTCGGCAGTTCCTGTGTTTGCGCCGGATGCTGCAGGGCCGTTGTTTGCTTCGAAGCTGCCCGTCCGTGCTCGGTCGGCAGCTTGCTCGTGAACACGGGCGAGCTTGGACTCGCGCATGACCTATGTATGGCGACGTGAGCCGACCGCAGTGTTGAATCGCCATTGAAATCACTCACGTCATTCGAAGCTTTGCGCTGCTGCGTCTGATTAACAGCCTCACGCTGCTTCTGCAGGTCCTGCCCAAGGCGCAACTCGTGTTCTTTGTTCAGCTGATGATAGGGGCAATGTCAGTTACATCGTGCATTGTGGGACGGAATAGATTGAAGACCGACCTCCAGTGTCTTCGAAGCATTGCGCTGGTCGGCAATGGCGCTCTCATGCTGGTGCTGGGCTTCGTTTATCGCCGCGGCAGTCTTATGTTCATTCTTGACCGCCTTGTCGAGCGCATGCTGCGCCTTGTCTGCAGCCTTCCATCTGCGCGTCAGCCGCGTCCCATCCATCCCTCGACCCACGCACCTTGACGCTCTTGTTGTGCGTCTTGCCCGCGTCCTTCAGATCCTTGATCGCATGGTCGACGGTCTTCTGGTCGGTCCGCGCTTCAGAGGTCGTCATCCTCTCGAGTTGGCGGATTTCGGGGTCATCAGACGCGCCGCCAGACTTCGACAAACCGAACAGTCCCATGGCTGTTGAAATGTTCGTAAATGGTGGTTGTGAAACGAGAGTACAATGAAGGATGGTGCACTGGTGAGTTGTAAGCTCTTCCGGCGTAAATATGTTGCGGAGCGGCTGGTGGTGGCGCTGCATTATATGGTATGCAGGTCAGCCTGACTCGTCACGTGTGCTACATGTCGCGTTCCTACTCACTTGCCAATTCGGGAGGTAGTCGGCGCTTGATGCGCGTTGTGAATATCAACTTCCCCCCAGCACATTCAAGATATATAATGGGCGACTGAGCTGTATCGGCTTGCCAGAATGCGCAAGTTACCGTATGACACACTACGCGTTGACAGATAATGTGGTCTAGAAGGTCAAATAGTAGATCGAGTATGACAGGAGGGCCCCATGCATAGTCAACATGCAAGACAAATTCACATCTTTAAGCTGGGAAATCAGTCAATCATTGGGTTTTAGCTAGTGATGACAATACTTTAGCTTACCGCCAGATGACGAGCCACTCAATGCGGCCTGTATTCTCTTCTCTTCCTCAGCCCACACCGGTCTCTTCAGCGTGTACGCGCTCTCGATGTGAGCATATGCGAGGCCGCTCAACCGCCCGACTACCTTGAACTTTGCTGGATCGACAGTGTCCCGCTCGTTCAGTATGTCCTTGCGGACATGAATGTACTTGACCAGCCCAAGGATCATCGTGTTCGTGTTCACACCGGTATCCGGGTGAACAATTTCGATTGCTTGGTACAGCTGGATGCGGGGCATGTGATCAAGACTCAGATTTCAACTTCAGTGAGCTGCTGCGGCGCACCTCGCATTCCATGCTGAACGCGCTCTCCTTTACTCGCGGCGCCTTAACGTGTATCTGGGTACGATATGGAAGCTCTGCCGCATTCAATTGCAGAGTTAAAATACCTACGCTTGGCTCCTTCGTTAGTCCGCTCAGTGGCCACTCGCTGACTCCCGAGGGCGCATCAATGGAGCACGCATTTGCCGCCTCCACCCATGGCTCGCTGATGAGGTTGACGGTAAAACCTTTCGTAGACTTGATGTTGCTCGTCGTGTCCTTGACGCGTTTGGGGCCGTTGGTGCATGAGATGAACACGAGCGGTGGGTTCTGTGTCACCTGTGCCAAATAGTCAACTGTCAAGTCAGTAACAATGAACAGAACTATGCTGCACCATGTTAAACCAGCTACCATTCGGTCTGTGAGCTTAACTCGAGACGAAGACCAGCAGCGCACGGCATACCTGAACGGCGAGATGTTCTCCACTCCACTCTCCGAGACCGTAGACACGAACGCAATCGGTCGCGGGACAATCCCGCTGTTCATGAGCGAATACACTTTCCTGCGATGAATCCACACTTCCTCAGCGCAACCCCTCAATATCGACAGCCAAGCGACGTACATGGGATCCTCTTTCGCCGTATCGACAACCTTCCAACCGGCCTTCTCGCCCTCCATCCACGCTCTGCCCTCAGGAGTGTCGGCAACCTTCTGCCCGTAGTGCCACTGCGGGTTGGGCGACTGGGTGAGTTGGAACTCTTGTGAATGGTTGAGAGGTGGGAGATCGTCGGTGGAAGCCATCGCAGGAGTATTGCCAGCAGCACCACGTTCTGTCTCTCGGGCGGCACAATCACTTAGGCAAGAAGAATCGACGCAGCGTATAATAAGAATGCCAGTCCGACGAAGGCCTCACAGAGATAGCACATCGCGCAATCCGAACCAACGTGAGCGTCGATGATAAGTAAGGTGGTACAGCGTAACCGAGACTATCGGGCTTACCTTTACGGTCCGAATCGCGCTTGTGGCTGATTCCGGGCGCTACAGGATAAACGCTCACTTTCCGTGGGCGCCTTTCTTTGGTTGTGGCTGCCATAGAGTTGGACAACCACAGCGGCTATGTATGAAGAGGACATCCGCGTTCAGCTCTGCTCAGTGACACCTCAGACAGTATTTCTTTGAGCCACACATCTATGTAGGACAGGTTGTCACTCACGGCCGTTATCCTCAAAATCATCAAGGCCTAGAATACCAATGGTAGCTGCCGATTTCGCACGGAGATCGCAGTTATCGCCTGCGCGAGACTCCGACGCGTGATTCACCATCCCACACGCGGTGAGTGGGTGCCCCATTTGTTGACATTCTGTTGGCCCATCGTTCGACTTGCGGGCCTTGCGCAGTATCTCTCTCTCTCCCTCATACCACACTCAGTCGCTCCGGCACCCATCGCGCTCGCGCTTTCCATACTCTTTGCGAACATTTTACCTCAATATGCCGCGCTTCCAGGATTTCGACATTGGCATCGCCATGGACGGCATCAAGTGCACGGAATTCAACGTCGACGTCGACTTCGACGCTGCTATCACTACGTGCTATATTGAAAGCATCATCGGAAAGGTACGTGTATGCCCTGGTAACATACTCTGCTAAAATATTGAACGCCACATTTCAGAACTTCGTCTGCGACTTCATGAACCACTCCGAAGACACCGACTTCGCAATCAAGCCGACCTTCGATGGCGCCAAGCTGCGCCC